TTGGTTAGATTTTAGTTCTTTTATTTCTCCAGAAAGGGTTTCTCTAATATCTTCCATGCTTTCTTCAAGCGCAGCTAGTATCTTTAAAATCGTCATTCTGATCTCTAGTTCCGACATCTTACTAATGTCCATATCAATTAGGTCCCTGGCAGTCAGTACTGCCTCTTGTTCTTTTTTTTGAGGTGATTTTTTTTCTGTCTTGTCATTTTGTCCAGAGGACAATAGATGAATGAGAGAACACAATGCAACAGGGTAACATCGACCCCAGAAAAATATACACTAAACAAATCAGAAGAGACATGAAACTGGGGGAAAAGAAAGGGAAAGAAAGAAAAATGAGGGAAAAAAAAGGAAAAAGAGAAAGATAAAAACAAAAAAAAACCAGAATATGATCAGATATGATCAGGCTGGTGCATAGATGAGTGCCACACTCTAGATTTTAGGCATATTTTGGTCTGTTAGAAGAAAGTGCCTCCCAAAATTTTAAAGAAAGAAAAACTTATATATGTACAAAAATAAGGGTAAATACAGTGAAGGGATGGAATATGATTGTAAAGATGAAAATTATAAAAGATTTTATAAAAGGAATTGGTAAGACAAGAAGTTGGTTGAAAAAAGAAAGAAGAGGATTTAAAAAAAAAAGGAAAGAATGTGATCAGGCAGGAGACTAGAACAAAGCCATACATTAGAAATTTAGGGTATATTTTGGTCTGCTAAAAGAAACTGTATCCCAAAATTTTAAAGAGAGAACAACATATATATATATATATATATACACACCAAAAATAAGGTTAACTACTATGAAGGGATAGAATATTACTCTAAAAATGAAAAATAAAAAAGATTTTTAAAAAAGGGATTGATAAGATGTTGGTTGAAAAAGGGAAAAAGAAAAATTCAAAAAAAAGAAAAGAAAAAGAAAGTTAAAAAAGAAAAAATTAACTTTGAAAGACTAAAGAATCATGGGATAAAAGCCATGAATTCTATGTACAGTATTCCCCTAGCAGTTCTGCTGTTCTCATTGATTGTTAAACTTGGTCTTGGCTGGCTGTTCTTGCTGATCTTCTGGGGGAGGGGCCTGTTGCCGTGGTTCCCAAATGTCTTTGCTGAAGGCGGAATTGCCCCACCCTTGCCGGGTCTGAGCTAAGTAATCTGCTGGGGTTGGCTCTCAGGAACTTTTGTTCCCTGCAATCTTTTCGTACAGCTTTGTAGGACAAGAGTGAAAATGGTGGCCTCCCAATCTCCACCCGGGAGGAGCTGAGAGCTCAGGGCCCCACTCCTCAGTGCGACCCCAGAGAAAAGCAGTCAATCACTCCTGTCTCCCCAGTCTCTGGCTGCACTCCTTTCTCACCCAGCCTGTGACCTAGCATTTCTATCTCTGGCACCCGACCCCATGTGGAGTCTCCAAGCCCAGCAGATCCCTGCTGGGGATCTGCAGAACGGTGCACTCCCGCGCCGTTCCTCCCAGGGGAGGAAAGGGAGTCTCCCCGGATCTGCCGCTTGTTGGGTCCCTGCTGGAGGAGCAGTGGCCCGACTGTCACCGATCACAGTTTATGGCAACCCCGAGCTGAGAGCCCACGCCTCGGCTCTGTCTCTGCAGCCGTCTTCCCCGCTCCGAAACCTGGGAGCTCTGCTGCACTCAGGCACCCCCCGTCTTTCTGTGACCCCGAGGGCCCTGAGACCACACTGTCCCAGCAAGGGTTCCAGCCCCCGCTTAGCCACTGGAGCAATATCCGTCAGCGGAGCCAACTTCTAAAAGTTCCAATTTTGTGCTCCGTGGCTCTATCACTTGCCAGTAGCAGCTGACGGAGGCCCCCCTCCCCCGCTGTCTATCCTCCTGAATATCGCCTCGGATTCACTTCTCTACACGTCCTACCTTACAGAAAGTGGTCGCTTTTCTGTTCAGAGAGTTGCTGCTATTCTTTTCTTCGATCTCCTGTTGAGTTCATAGGTGTTCAGAATGGTTTGATCCCTATCTAGCTGAATTCCTGGGACCAGACGAAATTTAGGTCTCTTACTCATCCACCATCTTGCTCCTATATGTAGAATTCTAATCCAGTTTTTTAAATGGACAAAAGTTGAACATATGATTAAAACAGAAGGTAAGTGAATGACCAATAGCACATAAAAGAAGCTCAAGCTTATTTGTGATTAGGGGACTGTAAATTTAAACTACAATGAAATACTTCTTCACACCCACTAGAATGGCTAAAATTTAAAAGATTCACAAAACCAAGTGTTGGTGAAGATGTGGAGTTAACTGCAATTTCCATTATTGCTGGTAGTAATGTAAAAATAGTTTAACCACTTTGGAAACAGTTTAATGGTTTATTATAAAATCAAATACACACTTACCATATGACCCATTAATTACACTTCTAGGTATTTGTCCAAGAGAAATAAAAACATATGTCCACAAAAAGACTTACTCAGAAATGTGCATTACTAGTCTATTTATAACAGCTCCAAATTGGAAAAGGCCAAATGCCCAACAAAGATGAATGGATTAAAAACAACAACAACTGTGGCATAGTCACACAGTGATACTACTCAATAACAAAAAAGAACAGATTACTGATACATACAATTACACTGGTGAATCTCAAAAACATTGTGCTAAGGGCGGGAAAGCTTGGAAAAGATTACATACTGTATGATTCCATTTATATGAAATTCTAGAAAAGGCAAAACTAATATATAGTGGACAAAAACAAAGTGGTAGCCAGGGGCCAGGAACTGACTATAAGGAAGCATGAGGGAACTTTTCGGGGTGATATAAATGTTCTATATCTTGATTATAGTTGTTATTATGTGTATGTATTTGTCAAAACTTATCAAACTGTATATGTAAAATGGATGCCTTTTATTATATGTAAGTTATACATGCAAAATTGATTTTTTTTTTAAATTTGTGTCACTTGAATATATATTACATGATACATATCTAAGTATATCATACTACATGAAAAGCATGACTGAATTTCTATGAAAGCATGTACTCAATAATCATTGAATTCTGAAAATAACATATCTCATGTGGCATTAAGATGTTTGAGGTAGATAAGTATAGATGTAGTTGAACAATGTGTTTAATATTCACAGTGATTTGTGCTTCCCTTGGTTTTCTCAAATATTCTTTGCAGGTAATTGACTATGCCAAGCTTGTTCAACCGCGTTTTGATAAAGCCCTTGAAATGTTAGTGAGAGATACGATAGCAGAGGCCACTGAAGCAGCGATTAAAGCTGTGAGAGAGCAGCTCTTCATAAAGCTACAAGCTAAAAGACAAGGTGAACCATCTCTGTCACATGTGTGTTCTAAGCAGAGGTCAACAATTCAGCCTGGCTGCCCGAGGGCTGGGACTTGCTTTGCTCGCCCTGGTATCCCTGGCACCTTGTACACTGCAGCCTCTTAATAATTGATTGAAGGCATGAATATACATAAACCTGACTCAAATAGAGAAAAGATTTCAGTCCTAGACCTCTAAGGAAAGGAATGAGAAAGAGCTTCCAAATTTGGATTTACTTTTGTGGATTTGCTTGCTGGGCAGAGACTGAATAGAATTTATACCTTTATTGACTCCACCTGATTCTTGCGGAGTTTACATTGTTGCTGCTGCTGCTGCGGCTATTTTACTATGTTAATGTGGGTCGGCCTCAATTGTAATTAGTTTTTTCTATTTGGAGAATATTAATTTCAAGTTCAAAGCAGTCATAAGGCAATGAAACTGGAAGAAGCCTTAATGATCAATTAACACAATTCTTTAACTTTACAGATAAGGAAAACTTTTTATATAAATTGGAAATCTTCTATCATTTTCTGTGCTTGAAACTGTTTAAATAGCAAAGAAATTATCTCTTCCTACATGGGAATGTTGAGCTTTTGCTAGGAAAGAACAGGTTATTTGCCTAATAAATCTGTCTCTTCTTTCTCAGCAGCCTATAAACAAGTGAAAGAGTCTAACACGGTGCCCAAGGGATTACAAAAACAGCAAAAAGACCAGCATTAAAATTACATGCCATCCTTGGGGTGCCTGGGTGGTTCAGTTGGTTAAGTGTCTGCCTTTGACTAAGTCATGATCCTGAGCTCCTGGGATTGAGCCCTGCCTCCCAGCTCCCTGCTCAGGGGGCAGTTTGCCTCTCCCACTCCCTCTGCTCCTCCCCCCACTCCTACACACTGTTGCTCTCTCTCAAATAAATAAAATCTTTTTTAAAAAAATTAGGAATAGCATGGAGGACCACAGGGGAAAGGAGGGAAAACTAAATGGGAAGAAACCAGAGAGGGAGACAAACCATGAGAGACTCTGGACTCTGGGAAACAAACTGAAGGTTACAGAAGGGAGGGGGTGGAGGGATGGGGTAACCGGGTGATGGGTATTAAGGACGGCACGTGTTGTGATAACCACTAGGTGTTATACATAACTAATGAATCATACGTAACTAATGAATCATTGAACACTACATCAAAAATTAATGATGTACTATATGTTGGCTAATTGAACATAATAAAATAAAAAATTACATGCCATCCAAACGATCATCCAGATGATCCAGATGAATTTGTTTTTAGTATATTATCTTCAAAATGAAAGCCAAAAGTTTATTAAATACTCATGGACAATTCACAAACTAAAGCTTGAGAAATATTGGCAAAGACTATTAAGATGGCTTTTTATTCAACTTACTTAAGGCTGGACAAAATGAATTCATTAATTCTTTCAACCTTGTACTCTGTGTTAGACATGATTCTAGGTACTGGGCTACAGAGGTGAGCAAGACACATGAAACTCCTGTCTTTGTGGTTGTTACATTTTAATGGAGGATGGGGGTCAGGGAACAAGTGAACAGATAGAAAAAATGTTAACACTATACTGGGTCAGGCAGTGACTGGAGCAGGGGTGCTGGAGTGTTAGGATGAGCAGGGAAGACCTCTCTGAAAAGAGGACATTTAACTGAAACCTGGATCAAGAAGGAACTAGCTAGGCTCCAGGAGGAAGAACAGTGATTAATGATGTTTCTTGGAGTCTGTAGTGATTCCTTTCACATCAAATTATGGCATGAAATCATAGATTTTAGATCTTTCCACATATTGCTTTCTCCCACCAGAATATAGAAATAGATGCCATCTCTCATACACCGCAAACTTAAAAGTCTCTTTTTCTGTTTCAAATTCCATAATTTAGAATTCGGATTTAGAATAAATCTGACAGTAGGGTTCTTAAAACTTTTCTAGTTGGAATTTTCATGCTGGTTCCACTAATTTGCTAGTTTTGCTAATTTCACTCCCAGTATACTTTTAAGAAAAATTTGTCAGTGGAGATTATTGAGGTTTTTTAACATAGAAAATTCTATAATACAGAGGAAGGCAGCTAACATGCATTAGGCTACCTGTGTGCCAAGCATTTTCTCAGTGCTTGAGTCTATTATCTCATTTAATCCTTAGAACAATGCTTTTGGCTTGATCATCCTCATTTTGCCCAGTAGAAATTGAAAGAGAGAGATCGAATGATTTGCCAAAGCCACACTGCCTGAGTCAGAACTCACACTCAAGTCTGTCTGTCTTTAAAGCAGAAGATTTAATCACTGTTCCTGTCTGCTTACCCCCAACTATATTTTGCTAACACAGCCCATTACTGTCTTTTAGCACAGTCAACTTCAAGAATACTTGAAAGAGAATTTGAAAGGAAAGAATATGACAAGTTCCCATCTGATGCATATAAGAGTTTAGAAGAGTCACGATCTTCATTTGATGAAGATGGTAAAAAAATATATTCTGATGTTCTTGGCCAAATCTTTCCTAATCTAAACAGATTAGCTGATAAAGCATATTATTCTTTCATGCAGTGTTCACTCATGAATCCCAAAAAGATCGTTTTTTAGAAGACAATGAAGACAAAAAGATTTCAGAAAATGTCTTCGATGATCAGGCCTCTAAAACTGGTAAAGATGGTAACAAAATGGCTCGGTGCACCTCGTGGCTCAGTCGGTTAGGTGTCTGCCTTTGGCTCAGGTCATGATCCCAGGGTCTTGGGCTCGAGCCCCGCATCAGGCTCCCTGCTCCGAGGGAAGCCTGCTTCTCCCTCTCCCACTCCCCCTACTTGTGTTCCCTCTCTCGCTGTCTCTCTCTCTCTGTCAGATAAATAAATAAATTCTTAAAAAACAAAAACAAAATGAATGGCTCATGCCATGCTTATGGATCTTATTTCCATTTATTTCATACTTTATCATGTTTAACATTGAAACTTAAAATTGTCCCAAAAATTGGACACTTAGGTTGAAAAATAGTTAGCTTTTCTCTTACAGATTTAAACTGAACAGCTATAGAACAGAGATTTATTAGAATGAAGAAAAAAACTAATAAGATAATAAATTCTTTCTTAAAATCTGGCTAATGTACTGGAATCAGAACATCACAAACCTAGAGTTTGAGCTGTGAAATGTTACTATTTAGTGCTATGAACTCTTATAAAATTTTTCCATTCACATATTAACATAATTGAGAGCATACGATGTAAACTATTTTTACCTGTTTTGATTCATAATACGACATTTAATTATATTACTTCATTAGGAAATATTTTAATCCTCATTTTAAATTACTGCACTATTTCCCTGTTCATAGGTAATAGTTTTAAGTAGTTCTTTATGTTGTAAACTTATTTTTCAGATTTTTTTTTTGCTACTACAAATAATGCTTTAATGAATTTTTTCATTGTCTGAATGTTGACATAGGTATAATCACTAGTTTAATGAGTATGAAGTTATAGACAGAGTCAAATTGCTTTGCATAAAAGTTATTCCAAATTATGTTCCCCTCAGTAATATACAAAATATGTGTTATTGTTTACTTGGTATATTCTCTATAATTTTAATTTTTATTTGATGATTTCTGAAATTTAATATTTTAATATTTGTTAATAACCATTTATATTTCTTCTTTTCTGAGGCGACCATTTTTGTCTTTTGCTCATTTTTCTAAATTGTCCTATCAGTTATATGTTTCTGTAAAAACTTTCTGTATTAGTCACTTATTTTTCATATGTTTTTCTACATTGGGTCATTTGTCTTTTAAATCACTTTGATGTTTTTGAAGTATAGGGGCTGCCAGTCTTCTGTCTAATTAGAGGAGTGGATGAATACTTATATCCTGATGCAGCCTATGAGCCAACGTAACTGTGTGGAGTCATTCAGCATGCAGTGAGGGCAAGCATGAAGTATAACACTTGAAAAACCAGCCTGTGCCACCTTCTCTTCCATCCCTGCCAACTTGCCTACCTTTTTCCTCTTGCTGTTTCACGTGGTCCCATGCTTGTAATTGGAAGTATTCCTCTTGTTTTCTGATTCATTACCTTGATGCTCATGATTTAGCTTGACCCTGGAATCCTTTGGTCCCTACCTCTTCTACCTGGCTTCCTGGGTTTTGACTCCTGCTGGACATGACTTCTTACCTCATTCACTTTCATTTTGATGCACTGGCTCTAAGCCACTGCTCTGATGTTTTATGTTTCCTGACTTAACATTTCCTCCTCAATCTATTTCCCCCTTCTTGGAGCATGTACTGCAGTAACACAAAGATAGTACTTTTTTGGATCAAGTATTAATAATCATGTTCTATTGCAAGTAACATTGTCCACTAAAATTATTAATGGCATTAGGTTATTTTACTTTAGATGCATTAGAAGACTCAATAGAAGAGGTAACTGCAGAGCATCCAGAGGTTCTTTCTATGATAGAGGAGACTGTGAAAATGACAAAGGATATGAACTTTGAACAGCCATATGAAAAACATGCTGAAATCTTAGAGGAAATCATCAAAGAGGTAAGAAGTCCAGATCCAAATGCTTATGTTCCTTGGTAGTTTTTAATGTATCAACAATTATGCAATATAATTTCATAGCTTTGAAATTAATCCTTCTTTAACTTTTATTTTCTTTGAGTTCAGTTCATTAAAATATGGTGCCTATGAAGCCAGTACCAAAGTTAGATATTTCTTCTAATTAGTTGTAAACTGAGACAAATTTCACTCCATAGCTAACTTATTTCATCCAACCACCTTAAACATGCATTCATAGGGGAAATGGATGAACACACAAGTACTTGTCCAACCTAAGGGGAAATTAAAGCCTCAGACGCTATGTCCTACTGCTGGCAAATCAGAAGGTTTATCTTTGGCTTATAAAGAACAAGATATCCACATGGGTCTATTTTGTACAGAGATCTTGAGTAAGCATTCACGGCAAAGACAACAAATCTGTTTTGGGCTTTCAATGAACTTCTTTGGATTTTCTCTGTAATTTGAGAATTATGTAATTTAAAATTATATGAGAAGAAAAAAATATTCTATGAGAGTATAGACCCACTCTATAATACATTGGGTGGGCTCCTTGAGCCCCAGGCTGTACCCAAGGTAAGTTGCTGTCCCCCTCTGAGCTTCCCATAGAGATCTTTCAACTTCTTCTGCATCTCTTCAGGATGTTCTGTCATCAGTTGGTTCCTTCAGACGCATTCTGAGAACCTACTATTTGCCCCCTTAATGTGCTAGATTCTAGGGATATGAAGATGAATTAAACATAGCTTTTTAAGGAGCCATCAGTCAGGTGCAGAAGGCTGATGTATAATCCAATATTTGAGTTATCATGTACTATGTGGTAAGTAGATATATACAAGGTGTAGGACCCACTTACTGTCAGGACTGTCACCTCTGCATGGAAAGTGAGACAAAGTATCCCAGAGGAGAGATAGGCAAGTGAGGGACGTCTTTAGCACTGTGGAAGTCCCATCCTTGCCCTTCACTGAGGATTTCCTCCATTTCTTCAGAGTTTATTCTGGAGGATACAAATCTACAAGGAGTACTAAAACACCTCTGATATAGGAATGTATATGGTGTCATTAGATGATAAACTGCCACTCTGGGATTGTGGAGGAGTCTAAATCACATGAGGTTGTAACATCAAATCTCATATCAGATTGTCTTTCTCAAGAGAACAGAGACCTGTGCAGGAGACTTTGACTTGTCATCAGTTTTGATGGTCTCTGTGAGTAGAAAGACTATTCTTAAAAAGTAGCTAGACTGGTGGGAGGGATGGGGTGGCTGAGTGATAGATACTGGGGAGGGTATGTGCTATGGTGAGTGCTGTGAATTGTGTAAAACTGTTGAATCACAGACCTGTACCTCTGAAACAAACAATACATTATATGTTTAAAAAAATAAAAAAGAAGATAGCAGGAAGGGAAAAATAAAGAGGGGGAATCAGAGGGCGAGACAAACCACAAAAGACTATGGACTCTGAGAAACAAACTGAGGGTTCTAGAGGGGAGGGGGGTGGGGGGATGGGTTAGCCTGGTGATGGGTATTAAAGAGGGCATGTACTGAATGGAGCACTGGGTGTTATACGCAAACAATGAATCATGGAACACTACATCAAAAATTAATGATGTAATGTATGGGGATTAACATAACATCATAAAAAAAAGTAGCTAGACTGAACCTAAAACTGCTCTAAAAAAAGAAAATAAAGTCCTTAAAAAAAGGTAGTGAGATAAAGAGATATGCTCCTTTATGTCATTTGCTCATTTTTAATAGTGTATCTTTGTTTTCATTTGCAGTTCTTTATGTGTTCTGCATACGAGTCCTTTGTTAGATGTATTGCAACTATCTTTACAAATATCTTCTATTCTGAATAATAGAAGTTAATTTGAATGAAGTCCAATTGATTAACTTTTTCTTTCATAGTTAGTGCTTCTTATGTCCTGTTTCAGAAATCTTTGGCTGTCCAAGGTCAGGAAGATATATATTCTCCTAGGTTTTCTTCTGTAAATTTTGCTTAGCCTTTCACATTTAGAGCTAAAATCGATTTTGAATTAATTTTGTGTATACAAAAAATATATCCAAATGGCCAATAAGCATATGAAAATGTACTCAACATCATTAATTATCAGAAAACTACAAATTAAAACCACAACATGAGGAAGGGGATGAAGAGGTACAAACTTACAGTTATGAAAGAAGTCAAGGGGATAAAAAATACAGCATAGAGAATGTAGTCAGTAATATTATAGTGACTGTATGGTGACAGAACAGATGGTAACTACATTTATCATGGTGAGCATTTTGTAATGTATTTAATTGTAGAAGCACTATGTTGTACACCTGAAACTAATATAATATTGTATATCAATGATACTTTGATAACAAATAATTATAATACATACATACATATATACTCTTACAGTTGTGTTCCAGCACCATTTATTGAAAAGACCAACCTTTCCCCACTATCATTTAGTGGCTATATCTGTGTGGTCTATTTCTGTATACTCCATTCTGTTCCATGGACCTATTTGTCTATCTGCACTCCACTACCACACATATTAACTACTGTAGCTTTTTAATAAATCTTGAAATCTGGAAGGCGGAATACTTCAACAGCTTGTTTCTCCTGTCACTGCATCCTTCCCTGTGTCATAAGTTGTTTCGTTCTGCTTGCTTTTTCAAGAGTATCTTGGCTATTATAGGTCCTTTTTACTTCCACATAAATTTTAGAATCATCAACTTTCACACACATATAAACACACACACACACACACACACACACCTGCTGGAATTTTGATTGGGTTGTATTGTATCTATAAATAAATTTGATGGAAACTACCATCTTCACAATATTGGGTCTTCTAATCCATGAGCATAGAATAGCCTTACTTTATCTTGGTCTTTAATTTCTCCCAGTGTTGTTTTGTAGTTTTCAGTGGAGAGGTCTTCTTCAGTGTCTCTCATTAGATTTATTTTTAGGTATTTGATGTATTTTGATCCTATTTTAGATATTGTTGTGGTCCTATTTTGGTTTCCAATTGTTGTTTCTGTAATTGTTTTTTTATCCTGTTTTCCTATTGTGCCTCCCACTAAATTTCATTTTCTGATCTAAAGCTCATAGCCCATATGCAGAACAGCTATGAATGATGCACTTGGGTCCAATGTATGATCCTGTCCAGGAAAAGTGAATAGGTTTTATTTCATTTGCAAACTGGAGAGTTAGGCATGGCTCCCTGGAGTCATGGGTTAAGGAGGATTCTGAAACACATCTGTATCTCAGCTCCTTTTAGAATCTTTTAGAATTACAGTTTAACAATATTTTGCAGCCTTAAAAATACAGAAATAATGATAGGTGTCATTTCTACCAAAGAGAAAGAAGAGTCACTGCCTTGCAATGGAGAATGCACAAATTTTTTTCCCCACACTAAATCATTTGCACTTTTACCTGGTTTCCACCTCGATGAGCTACAGAGCACATAATAGAAGCAGAGGCTGGGGGACACTGGGAACTTCTTCCTGCTCCTGTTTGCTTGTGTTAACTGAAGCTGTTACCTAGACTTATGCCAGAGTTATTTGCCCCATACCTCACGGAGAAATGTCACGGGGACAACATCAAGGACACTGAGGTTTGTGTCTAACCTGCCACTGTACGTTTTCTAGCCCATGACCTATCCAGCCGCGCATCATAACCACAGCCTATTTCTCTAGTCACTGCAGCCTTCCCCGTGTGATACATCATTTTTGCTCTGCTTCCCTCATCACGTGGTTTTTTCTCAAAAACATCTCCATTTCTGCCCTTGTATCTGTGTTCTTCACATGGTCATTACGTTTTCCTGTGGCGCCCCCCCCATGTCTCTCTGTGTTAAGTACTTTCCCTGATTCTCCCAGTCTCTTCTCTCAATCACTCTCTCCCTAGGTATGTTTTTTCACAGTGATAAGTATTTGGATATACAAGTGATGAACACATGTATGTGTGTATATCTATAATCACATATATATGTATATACATATATATTCACAAGTAGTAAAATTAAAAGTAAACATGAAATAGCATAGAATAAGGGAATGCATAAATAGCATGTTTAAATGCAGGGGAAAAATTTTTATTAAGTTAAAAATCACAAAGGGATAGAAGGATGAATAATGCATGCAAATGTTACACCATTTTTCTAAATATTGCTTTCTCCCACTCACCCCTCCCCTGAGGATGTCCAAAGAGAATGCCACTTTATTTTCAGCTGGTCAGACATCTAAGAGCCCACTTTCATGGCTCTGGTGCCAGCCAGGCCAGACGCAGACCTTGCACAAATGCTTCCCTGGGGCCCCTTCCCTCCCACTTGCCCCACAAGGCTCAGAGTCCTGCCACGCCTCCTGCTGGGCCATACACTCTGGCATTCTTTCGGATATGAAATCTTAAGGAAGATTCCCTCTTCTCTCCACAGTGATCTCAACTGGGGAATCTCCCTCAATAGATTCTTACACCGAAGCTGTTTTCCTGATATGTCTCAAACCTGTATCCTCAGGCACTCAAGCCCTCACCCCCGAAACTTTCCTCCCCTCAGCATTGAAATGTCCAGGCCTGAGTGCCTTGTGCGCTTGCCCCCTACCTGGTGTCAGTGACCTCTTTCCCTGAGGCAATGGATGGCATGCTTCACTTCTCCCTTCCATCCGAGTCACTTGAGATAAAGTCAGAAAGACAACTTCCACATTTGGACCTGCACAAACACAGTGGAAAAACTCTTAAAGCAAAAGCTCAATAGAGAGGCTACTTAATAATGATTCTCTCTATGAAAAAAACCATGAAAATCATAATTTTAGGACAAAGGTCAAAAAATATTTATAACAAGCATGACCTATTAATTCCTTAATACAAAGATTTCTTACAAATCAAGGAAAATGGAATACCCTAATATAAAAGCAGGCAAAAGATACAGATTGTTTCATCAAAGAAGAAATGCAAATGGTTAATTGAAAATTTTAATGTTCAAATTTCGAGAAAAATATGAAACTTAAAACAGTGAGATATAAATTCTTACCTATCAAATTGCCAAAGATTTTTAAAAATGTATAACAATCCATACCAGTGAGGCTATAATGAGATGGTCACATAGGAGAAGTGAAAATTGATACAGATGTTTTGGAAACAATGTGGCAATGTGTGTGAAAGACCTTTAAAATGTTCATTCCTTTATGAACCTAAAAACACATCTTCTAGGAATCTGACCTAAGAAAATATATAACATTTGGGCATAGATTTGCATATACAGATGTTCATCACAGTGTTATATTAAAATTATAAATTATGTAAATGTTTACCAGTGAGAGAATGATTAAACAAATTAAGATCTATTCATTTGATAAAATGCTATGAAGGCATTAGTTTTTTCAAAAAAATTTTAATGAGATGGAGAAATTGCACTACTGGGTATTTACCCCAAAGATACAAATGTAGGGATCCGAAGGGGTATGTGCACCCCAATGTTTATAGCAGCAATGTCCACAATAGCCAAACTGTGGAAAGAGCCAAGATGTCCAACGACAGAGGAATGGATAAAGAAGATGTGGTATATATACACAATGGAATATTATGCAGCCATCAAAAGGAATGAGATCATGCCATTTGCAACGACGTGGATGGAACTGGAGGGTGTTATGCTGAGTGAAATAAGTCAGTCAGAGAAAGACATGTATCATATGACCTCACTGATATGAGGAATTCTTAATCTCAGGAAACAAACTGAGGGTTGCTGGAGTGGTGGGGGGTGGGAGGGATGGGGTGGCTGGGTGATAGACATTGGGGAGGGTATGTGCTATGGTGAGCGCTGTGAATTGTGCAAGACTGTTGAATCACAGATCTGTACTTCTGAAACAAATAATGCAATATATGTTAAGAAAAAAAAAAGAAGAAGAAGATAGCAGGAGGGGAAGAATGAAGGGGGGTAAGTCAGAGGGGGAGACAAACCATTAGAGATGATGGACTCTGAAAAACAGACTGAGGGTTCTAGAGGGGAGGGGGGTGGGGGGATGGGTTAGCCTGGTGATGGGTGTTGAGGGGGGCACGTTCTGCATGGAGCACTGGGTGTTATGCACAAACAATGAATCATGGAACACTACATCAAAAACTAATGATGTAATGTATGGTGATTAACATAACAATAAAAAATTATTTTAAAAAAAGAAATTATAAATTATATCTCAATGTTGCTTTCATTTTCATATCTTTGAAACTGGACAGTAAGATTTTCGTTAACCATTTGTATTTTTTCAGTTTTATTGAGTTGTATTTGACATATAACATTGTATTAGTTTAAGGTGTATAACATAATGATATGATATATGTACATATTGTGAAATGTTTACCACAATAATTTTGGTTAACACCCATAGCACTTCACACATTTAGTTTTGTGTATGTGTGATCGGAATTTCTAAGATCTACTCTCTTAGCAACTTCCACATATACAATATAATATTGTTAACTGTAGTCAAACCATGCTGAATATTACGTCCCCGGGACCTATTTATAACTATAATTTGTACATTTTGACTACCTTCACCCATTCTCCCCACCCCCATCCCTGCCTCTGGCAACCACCAATCTGTTCTCTCTTTCTAGGAGTTCAGTTTTTTTAGGTTCTACATATAAGTGAGATTATACAGTATTTGTCTTTCTCTGACTTATTTCATTTATATTTCTTTTTTACAGTTTTCTCTTTTTTCCCTTAATTCTGTTAAGCATTTAAAAGTGCTTAAAAAAATTTTTTAGAAGACTCTTCAATCTGAAACTAATGATACACTATATGTTAACTAATTGAATTTAAATAAAATAGTTAAAAGTTAAAAAGAATTTTTAAAAAAGGACTCTTCATTCAGATGGAAATTCATAAAGTAGGTAATCTTAAATTCTGCAGAGGCCCGTGAATTATACCCTTTCTTGTGACATCTCTTCCCCTTTGACTTCAAATATCCTGTGATTACCTGATGACACATGAACTTGAACCGCTCAGAGTTGGTGTATTCACACATCCACATTACTAATTTCCATACTTGCACTGAAGCTGTAGCTACTGCTCTGCCCGAGGGGGGTTGGGGGCAGAGTTTAGCAGAACTCCCTAAGCACCTGCAAGGTTTGTTTTGACCCGATTCCTTCCTACTGCTTTTAGTAACCGTATCAGTACCTTCTCGGCTCTCACACTGAGGAATGAAAACTGAAAGGGAAGTGAAGAGTGTTGTCACGAAAACAGGCAAGCTGGACTTGGCCCTTGCTACTCAAAGAGTGGTCCATGGACCACTGTCACCTAGGAGCATGTTCGAAATGCACACTCCTGGGCCCAAGACCTCCTAAATTGAGATCTAAATTCTGTAATACAGAATAACAGATAGCAAAAATGTACTGTTTTATTTATTTAATAAAGGCTTTTGCTTCCCATTCTTAATTTTAAACACTTAGATAGCTTTATTGCTTTAAAATTAAGCGTCTCTTTTAAAATTAAGTGACTCTTTTTCTTTTTCTTTCACGTCAGAAGAATTCAAAAGATAGTTGGCTAGGGTCTGCAAAAACGATATATCAAAGTAGTATCCTTGACTTCTCAGGCTGTGATGGTAATATCAGTTGTCCTTTTTCACAGGTAGTTGAAGAAAACACAAATAGGTTTTCTGGTACCCCAAAGTATGGAGGATGGATACTGGACAACTGCCCTGTTATGAAAGAACTGTGGATAGTCTTAGTCGAGAAAGGAATTATACCTGATTTAGTAATCTGTTTATCAGATATGGAAAACAATGGTTAGTAAATATTTATCATGTAAATCTGAAAGTGAAATTTTTATTGCTGATAATATGTTTAGTTAAAATACAAAATGGAAAACTCTTCCCTCTCCCTCGTTACAAATATCACCCCAGCAATCCCTTTACAACTTAGAGGTACACAGAATGAGGCATCCACTCACCAAGTAGAAGGGCAGGAATGGTGTGCTGGATCATTGGACGTCCCATCAGGCCCTTACAATTATTCTTTGGAGCTGAGAATTTAACACCCCATTCTCAATCGGCACTCTAACTTCTAAATGAAAAATACATAAGGCTGAGAGTAAAGACTGTATATTAGTCATTAACACCTCAAATGGGAAATATTAAATACATAAAGATAGCAGAACTAAATTTTAATTATTCTCTCGCTTTGAAAAAAGCTATAATAATCAAAACAGTATGGTACTGGCATAAAAACAGACACCTAGGCCAATGGAACAGACTAGAGAGCCCAGAAATATACCCATACATATATGGCCAAATAATCTTTGACATAGGAGCCAAGAATATTCTGTCATCTTGCCTTGTAAGGAAATATATTTGAAAAGAGAGTTTCCAGGGGGAAAATATGATAACCACCTCTTTTCATGTTTTAGTTATTTCTACCAAGCCGATATTTACCTCTTAGAAAGGATTTCAGACAGTCTCGATATTTTAAAGAACCTGGGCTCTATTTAGATAAATGCTTAAAGGGAAATATATTTGGATATAGGCAGGATCAACTTTTTGTCGTTAATTTCCAAACTGTTTCTCACTATATTTTATAGAGCTTCAAAATTAATGTTATTCTCTTTATCTGTATTTCAGGGAAATACTTACTTAATAGACTGTATTTAGAGAATAAGACTGAAGTTGACTCTAAGATTTTAGAAAGATTATTAGATGAACTGCAAAAGAAAAAAAAGGAGGAAGAAGCAGCAAGGTAAAATATGTTTGGCATAATAAAACAAGTTAATGAATCTTTTATAGCTATTACATATCTACTTATAAGTTACATTTATGAAATGTCTTTAATATCAAAACAGTGGTCTACTAAGTAGATCCAATTCTAACTCAATTCTAAGAAAAACAGTAGGCTTACAAATACTTTTGGAGTGTCTAAAGTACTGAGTTGGGGATGTTTTCATGGCCCGAAATCAAACTTATTCTAGAACAAGTGTCTACTCTCAAAAGACACTGAAAAAAATGAGCACAGGTAAGATTATTTTTTTTACCATATTTATCTGTGACTTAAGTAATTTTACTGACCAGTACCCACAAATTGAAAAAATAATACGATAAAAAATAAATGAAAGGGGTGCCTGGGTGGCTCAGTCGGTTAAGCTTCCGACTATTGGTTTCAGCTCAGGTCATGATCTCAGGTCATGAAAGCCCCCCTCCCCCCCACCTCACCCCGTGTCATGGAGCCCCGCCTTGGGCTCTGCGCTCAGCATGGAGTCTGTTTGAAATTCTCTCACATGCTTTCCCTCTGCCCCTCCCCCCGCTCACACGTGCTCTCTCTCTCTCTAAAATAAAATCTTAAAAAAAAAATGGTTTTAATTATTGTTTTCCTGACATATCTCCTATAAGTGTAGTAATGTCTTTTGAAGAAAATAGAAGTAACTAGATTTTCACAGGTTGGGGAAAGGATGCAAAGAACACTGAATATGGAGAATGACAGACCTGTAAAATAGTCAGGAAAACTGCCCCAGAGTGGGCAGCTGATATGAATGAGCTCTACTTAACTCATCCCCTGTTGGTGAATACTTGATACAGTTTTTTGATATTATTTTTAAAAGATGCAATCAACATTGTTATACATGTTTCTTTGTGCAGTAGTATGCCGATTCCTTCCTGAGAGCTAAATTCCTAGATATAGAATTTCTATGTCAGAGGTATACACATTTTAATTTTTAATAAATATTGCCTTTCTCCATCACTTTACTAGTTTTCCTTGTATCTTTCTTCATCATTAAGACAGGCTTAGTGTTTTAATCCTAATGAAAAATAGATTCCCTCCAGACATTTAAGTTTCCATATTTCAAGTCTCTTCAAATTTCATTATTACAATGTTGAAAAGAAAAGAAGTCAGGAAATATGTTTTTCTGATTAAAAGATAATTATCTATTTATTCAATATAGAAAACTTTTTAATACAAAAAATAATAAGTAAAAGTAAAAACTCTTACAATGCCAGCATCCAGAGATAATTCCTATTAACAGTTTTGATTAGCATCCTTCTAGGCTTTTGATCATCACTTATATAAACTTTAAGTACAAAATTAAAATTGTATTATACATAGTCTTATATTACACTTTTTTGTCACTTAACATATTTTGTGAATATTTCTGACTTATTCAGAAGGAAAAATAGTACTTTTCCCATTTACCTTTTCAGCTTAGAGTTGGACAATCTTTTATTAATTTTGACAGATTTCCTAATTAATAGCCAAAATTTTTTAAAGTGTAATATTGCAACTTTTCTTAACCAAAAAAAAAGGAAATAAAAACAAACCCTGAAATTAAGTGGCTTCAATATGAGCAAATTAAACATTTACATTGTAAAGTTTAAGAGTATAATGAACATAATACACAATTTACCCAATTTTTTACCACTATGGGCCTCAAATCCTAGAATATTGTAAGATGCCTGAATTTCCAAAGATGATTAAATTTTGGACCTTTTCATTTCAGAAAAGCTGCTGAAGAAGCATTGAGAATAGAGGAAGACCAAAGGCAATTGGAAGCTATGAGCGAGAAAGCAAAAGGCAAACACAGATTTATATCACTAATAATGTGTCATTTAATTTTGTTTTGTTACTGCAGGCAACTGCAGTATTTCAAGTGAATTACAGACAGCATGACCGTATTTCCCAGTTTGCCCATGAGAGTCTCGGTTTATGCTATGCCTATGGTACTGAAATATTTATTTGACCCACTTTCATTCTCAGTGTTCCAATTTAGTTAATAAATTGTGTGGTCACTAGAGTAATGGAGTCATAGGAAAAGACCTCCAACACAGATACCTACGCATGCTCCCTCTGTGGATCCACAGCAGGCAGCTCATGCAGCATGTCTTAAAATGCTGCCCTTGTCATGTAGGACACATGGATGTTGGAATTACTTCTAATAGAAGGAAACTGCAGAAGTTGAGAAAACAGCCAATCTCCTGCTATACCCATTGTCTTTGAACTTAAATTTTCATCTCCATTATACAAGAACTTACTCCAACAGTTTCTTTTAAGACTGAAGTTCTTAACCTGAAGTTCATGGATAAAATTCAGAGGTCTGTGAACTTGAATGGGAAAATAATTACAACTTTATTTTCACTAAACTTTACCTGAAATTTAGTATTTCCTTCACTTAGTAATTAATATAGGCAACAAGCCATAATAGTATCAGCAGTATCTTGACTTTGTTACCAATAGAAACTAAGATATTTTCATGTCACATTATAGTTTTATATATCCTGTTTATGCTAAATCACGATTCCATAATGATGGTAGTTATTAGACCGGCTGCTAGTTCTTGGTATTTAATGCATTAGTAAAGATGCACGAATTTCCTACAGCACAAAATTTATTTTGATATCTTCATAACTATTTCAATATAATTGGTTTCCTACATATTTTATTTTATGGGTTTGAAAGCATTATTCTAAGGAGGGTGCATAAGTTTTACCAGACTGCCAAAAGGGTCCATGAAACAAAAGACTGAAAAGTATCTATTTCAGTTTTCCTTTGTTGGCAGCAAGCCACCCCAAAACTGTAAAACAACTACCATTTTTATTCTGTACACTTTTCTGTGGGTCAGGACTTACACAGGGCTATCCCTGCTCCCTGAGGAGCTCAGTTCAGGCTTTGAGTGGCCACCTTGGTAGTCAATCCTCCAATCCCAGGCAAGCCTTCAGAGACTGCAACCCTGAAGGACATCTTCATTGACTTTATGAGAGAACAAGAGCCAGAACCACCAATTAAGCTACTCCCAAATTCCTGACCCCAGAAACTGCAAGGATGATATGTGATTATTGTTGCTTTAATCACTAAATTTTGGAGTAATTTATTATGAAGCAATAGATAACTAATATAACACATACTTAGTAAAAATCACAGATAGTATAAGGATCTTAGAACACTTTTCAGTCCATTCATGACTTTTCTGGTACACAGATTATCTATTAGAATTCTAGAAAAAGTATTAGAACTTTTTACACTTTTCTGCATCATTATATAAACTCTTTTCCCTAATATGAATAAGAATTCAAAATAAATAATTTACATGTATGCATACTGGAAGTATTTTTTTTTTACTATGAGAGATACATTGTGAGTTTTTGCTGTACAGCATATAACTTCATCCCAAACCCTAGTAGGATTCAGCAAATGCTACTTCTTCCTTGTGTGTATCACCATAAATTCCTCTATATGACACAAAAGAGCCATATACTTAGAAACCACATGCACTGTAGTCCTGATACAGACCCAGACCTATAAGAACACTTTTCTTTTTTTTAGTTATGTTTTGCTTTTCTTTTTTTTCAAGATTTTATTATTATTTATTTATTTGAGAGAGAGACAGAGAGCACAAGGGGGGAGGGGCAGAAGGAGAGGAGGAAGCAGGGAGCCCGACATAGGGCTCCATCCCAGGACCCTGGGATCATGACCTGAGGCGCTTAACAGACTGAGCCACACAGGTGCCCCAAGAACACTTTAAGTTGCTTTGCTCTGGGTGCTTAATCATCCAGATTCAGATAAAAATTCGGATGCCAAAGGTATCTCATACCAGATAGTCTCGGAAGGTACTCATTGGGGGGAGAAATTTCCACAGGAGTCCAGAAAACAGGCTCATTTATTATTTTTTTTTCATATCATCTGCACAGAAATATCTTTTTTTTCAATTTAATGAATATATTAAAAGGAATTGGGAGATAGGTTTACTAACACCATTTACCCCATCTTCTTCCTGAAAGACTTCCATGCAACTACATAAAGCTTGGAATTGTGCTTTTAAAATTTACATTTGACATACTGATTCCATTATTTGTAATTAGGTATAAGAAAATCCATCATTATACATTAAATCTAGCCTCATGCTGCCCAGTGGAAATATAATGCAAGCCACCTATGGAACTGTAAATTTTCTAGTAGCTACATAAAAAGTAAAAAGAAACAGGTGAAATTAATTATATTTATTTAATATACTATGTCCAAAATATTATTTTAACAATCAGTGCAAAAATTACTGAATATATCTCACATTCAGTTTTTCAAACTAAGTCTTTGAAATCCATTGTGTATTTTATACCTACAGCACATCTCAATTTGGATTAGCCACATTTCAAGTGTTCCAATAGCCACACGTGGCTAATGGCTCCATATCAGACAGTGTAGTTCTATCCCTATCCTTACTGAATGGACTTTGGGCTGTTTCCAGTTTTTTACTGTTAAAACCCTTAGGCTGCTGCTCCCATAGCATTCTGAGCACATGCACTACACACTGCCACTACATTTGAATAGATCAAATATGTAGACAAAGTATCTGTCTCCCTCATCAAACCCCGTGCTCCAGGAGAGCAGGGCCATTCCTTATTCTTTGCTTTGGCCTCAGCACCAATCAGACTATCTGGCACCCAATTAAATATTTGTTGACCTAAACTGAATAATAATTTATTTCTCATTTTTTCTAGAAGTAGAAGAGGCTGAACCGGAGGCTGAAGAGGAGATTGAAGGTGAGGAGCCTGAAGTTCAGGAAGGGTCTGAGGCCCTGGAGGTAGCCGAGGACACCAAGGGATCCTTACCTGAGGAGTCTGAAGCACCTGAGGTCCCTGGAACAGAACCTGAATCAGGTTAGACCCTACTGAGAGCCATGCCTTCATTCTACTCCTGTCTATTGGGTGTGTCTGTGTGTGCACATGCATGGGTTTGTGTCTTTTCTACATTAATAAAATGGAAGCAGGCGAAGAATGGTGACATGAGCTCCCAGGGAGCAGCCATTTAGTCCAAATCACATGGTTTGTAGTGTGGTAGGAAAGCCAAATCTCTGCCCTGGTACCGGCAGTCAGGAGCAGGGTCAGTCATATAATCTATGAGTCACATGGTTCAAAAAGCAGGGAAAAGTGCTTTTAAACATACTAAAGTATAAAGCTTTTTCTTTTCTTCCATGGCCTCTCTCTCAGCTTTTCATGGTGCTTTTTGTTTGCTAATTAATCTCATTCTAAGTAGACAAAAATTTTAAATTTTATTCATTGGCATGAATTTTACTGTTTATCTTTATGTTGTACAAAGCTATTTTTAAATGCAAATATAAGAGCATTTAACTCATATCACCAAAATTACACAATTTGTATTTTGCAGCTTGGACATAAATTGCATTTTTTTTTTTTTTTTTGAGAGAGAGAGGGAGCACAGGAGTGGGGGAGGGAGGGGCAGAGGGTGAAGGAGAGAGAATCTTAAGCAGGCTCCACGCTTAGCGCTTAAGCAGAGCCTGACACAGGGCTCCATCTCACAACCCTGAGATCATGACCTGAATCAAAACCAAGAGTTGGCCGCTTAAGCAACTGAGCTACCCAGGCTCCCATTATATGCATTTCATCCTTAACAGAATACCAAGCCAGTTTCATGCACAAAACTAACGGAGCTTTTTATTTCACTTCTTAATATGCACATATGTTCTATCAACACTCTCTAGCTTACTAATGATTAAGGAAAGACTGAAAGAAAGGGAACTCTGGGTTGCTCTATCTTTTCCTTTCCTTCTATGTCATCGTTTTCAGCCTGTGTTTAGCTAATACAGGAAAGTAACATGAGTAAGAAAGTTATTGGTTATTCATGTCTCTGAATGTTATCACCTTTTTCAGCATCTGAAGCAAGTTCTAGTTTAAAGGAAAAGTGTGGTCTCTCAGGGCTGCTCCCTTCCCCCCACCAGTTGGTCACACTTACATCTCTCATACGTGGTCCCCTGGAATTCTATGGTAATGACAGTGCATCAGGAATGTTCATGAGAACGTGAGGGCAAGGGATGGCAAACACATACTGTGCATACCTCTGCTCACATGCCCTCTCTTTTGTCCCTTTGGAGCCCCTTTGGATTTTGCTTATGAAACAGTTCAAAGGTAAAATTACTAAAAATTTCAAAATGACAGCCAGAGAGCATTAATCTGAGTGTGAGACCATTCTAAGCATAAGACCTTGTGCAAGTGCAAAGGTCCCACACTCATTAAGCCAGCTCTACTTCAGAGGACAGTTTGGTGGACTAGTGCAGGGCAAGAAGGAGTCTATGGGCAATGAAAGTCACTCTTAGGACCAGAGAGGATCTTAAAGCAGCAAGATTGGGGACCCCACTGTGGTGGCAATGAGGCACATAAATACTTTTAAGCTTGGTTAGTATTAGATTAGAAACTAATCCTACAAACTAATGATCTTCAGATACCTGCAGCTAGATGCCAGTCTGGAGCAATTAAGGGCTGGGAACCTGCTGTTAGCTGGTAAAAGGACCAGGACTAAGATGAATTTTTACAACGAGAAATCTCAAGTTCAACAAAGATCATTTTTACTACAAGGTTGACATTAGCTTTATGGGACAATAAGTATAAAATCAGATCCCTTGCGCCAGACAGAGGAGTTAGCAGGATGAAACACGCAATTTCCTTTTAGGAGTCCCACACCTCTCTTGACTTGAGCTTCTACCAAGAAACTTCATTGTTTTTTATTGTTTGTTTTTGTTTTTTATTTAAAATCAATTAATTAACATATAGTGTATTATTAGTTTCAGAGGTAGAGTTTAGTGATTCATCAATTGCATATCACACCCAGTGCTCATTACATCATGTGTCCTCCTTAATGTACATCACCCAGTTACCCCATCCCCCCGCCCCCTCCCCTCCAGCAACCCTGTTTGTTTCCTATAGTTAAGAGTCTCTTATGGTTTGTCTCCCTCTCTGATTTCATCTTATTTTATTTTTCCCTCCCTATGTTCATCTGTTTTGTTTCTTAAATTCCACATATAAGTAAGATCGTATGATATTTGTCTTTCTTTGATTGACTTATTTTCTTAGAATAATACCCTCTAGCTCAATCTACATTGTTATAAATGGTAGTATTTCATTCTTTTGATGGCTGAGTCATATTCCATTGTATATACATATACCACATCCTCTTTACCCATTCATCTGTGATGGACATCTGGGCTCCTTCCATAGTTTGGCTATTGTGGACATTGCTGCTATAAAGGGGTGGGGGTGCCCCTTCAAATCACTATGTTTGTATCCTTTGGATACATATTTTCAACTTTTTGAGGAACCCCCATACTGTTCTCCAGAATGGCTGCACCAGCTTGCATTCCCACCAACAGTGTAGGAGGGCTCCCCTTTCTCTGCATCCTTACCAACATCTGTCGTTTCCTGACTTATTTTTAACCATTCTGACTGGTGTGACCAGAAACTTCATTGTTTTTTTAATACCTAATCAATTTGACTGATAACAATTCTTCCACCCACCTACATTTTGTAAGAAGAGAGGCCATAAAATACCAAAAAAAAATAAAAGAAAATGACATCCATTAAATATGACATGTCAAACATATCCCCATAATTCCAATATCCACAATATCTCACAATTAGTATTTACAAATGTAACAGGTCTAGGGGACAATTTAGTTTTGTTGCTTTTAATCTGATTATGTCCCCCAGGGAACCTACTTTGGGTGTTTTAAAGCCAGCGTCCTACTCTAGTTAGGGTCAATTCTAGCCCAATGCTAGACACTGTAGACATGACTGGGCTTCTCCAGGGCAGGTTTGCTTCTGTAAAATGGGTCTGTTTTGGCCATATTGAACCATATTCTGTTTCACAGAAGGGCTTGCATCTGGTTTATCCAGTGATTACTTCTTCTATTCAAGGGTCTCTTTTTCCACAAAATCTTCTCTTCTAAATTACTTAACGGGGCAGTTTTTTTTTTTCACTTAAAACTGCCCTGTCTAAAAGACAAATACCATATGATTCCACTTATATGAAGTACTTAGAGTAGTCAAAATCATAAAGTTAGAAAGTAGAATAGTGGTTGCCAGGGGCTTGAGGGGTGGGGCGAATGGGGAGTTATTATTTAATGAGTACAGAATTTCTCTTTTACCAGGTGAAAAGAGTTATGGGCTGAAAGGTTGTGACGGTTGCACCGCAATGTGGATGTATTGGATACCACTGAACTGTATATCTAAAATGGTTAAGAGGGTAAATTTTATGGTATACGAATTTGCCACAATGAAAAAAAAGAAAGGAAAAAACTATTCTAACATAAATCCATTACTTTTGGAATTTTTAAACTTTATCCAGAGTAATGATGGCTGCCAAACATATGTCCACATCCTAATTTCTAGAACCTGCAGATGTTACCTCATTTAGAAGAAAAGTCTTTGTAGATGTGACTAAATATCTTGAGATGGGGAGATCATCCAGGATTATCCAGGTCGGCCCAAAATGCCATCACAACTGTCTGTATACAAAGGAAGTAGAGGGGCTTAGACTCGCACTCAGAGCAGAAAGCCCTGTGAAGATGGAGGCAGACGTTGCCATGATGCAGCCTCAAGCTAAGGAATGACAGCACCCAGAGAAGCTTGAACAGGCAAGAAGTGATTCTCCTCTAGCACGGCAGAGGTGGCACAGCCCTGCCAACACCTTAATTTCTGACTTCTGGCCTTCATAACTGTGAGAGAATACATTTCTATTGGTTTATTTTATTTACCAAGTTTGTGGCAATATTTTGGCAGTCCCAGGAAACTAATACATAGCCAGAACAGGATTTTTATGCCTCATGCTAGAGAACACATCTTTTCCTCTGTCATGGGCCGCAAGATAATCATTACCTCTGTCAATACTCGGGAAGATTGAAGCTTCATCTCAAACCTGTTGTCACTCTAGCCTTCTTAGAATGGAATGACATATGTATTGCTTAGAATCAGTGCTTTAAAGGTCATTACATTCAGATGCATTCAGAGGCTAGTTAATCACCTTGATCATTCCCAGATTGTTCTTTATGTACTAGTTAGGTATAGGCAAATTACATGGAACTTGCAAGAAGCTGAGCTTAGAGTAACCATTGGCTCTCATCACAATGCTTTATTCCAAGTACTTCACGGTCCTGTAATAAAGCTGGCTATTAAACATCAGGAAATACATCCTTTTAACAAATATTTATTGAATTCCTTCTAAGTGCCAGACAAAACAACAGGCGCTGCCCTAGGTACAAGAAACTCAGCAATGATCAAGATAGTCAAGGTCCCTATCTTCAAAGAGTTGTCATTCGATGGTGAAGAATAAGAATAAACAAGTAAATAACTAAAATAATTTATGATAGTGGTAAGTGCTATGGATAAAATATATGAAGACACTAAAGCGAGCCTGGGATCTAGTAGGTGCTCAATAAATGTTTCTTGAATGAATAAGCAAGGTGGAGACCAGTGGGGTGGTTTGGAAGAGGCAAGACTAAACATTAGGGCCAAGGAAGAGTGTTGTCTGAGAAGATGATTCTTGAGGCAAGGCAGAAAGACTGAAAAGGATCTGTGCAAAGATCTTTCCACTGCAAAGGCTCAGAGGTGGGCACAATTCAATGGGCAAGGAAGAAATGGAGTGTGACCAGAGCACAGTGAGCAAGAGGGAAGGGGAAGTTGAGATTGGACAGCGAGGCAAAGGCCAGAGGCTTAGGGAGTTTGAAGCTTTCTCTAAGTGCAGGTAATCGATATGATCTCATTAACATTTCTTAAATTTCACTTTGGCTGCTGTATGACACCTTATGTCATTGTTCTGCACCTCAGGTTCTTCATTAAACAGGGTTAGGAATAGTTACCAAACATTGTTT